ATTTTAAAAACTGAGGAAAAAATCAAAGATGACACAAACAGATGGAGAGAGATACCATGTTCTTGGATTGGAAGAATCAATACTGTGAAAACAATTATACTACCCAAAGCAATCTATAGATTCAACGTAATCCCTATCAAATTACCAATGGCATTCTTCACAGATTTAGAACAAAAAAGTTTACAATTTGTATGGAAACACAAAAGACCCAGAATAGCCAAAGCAATATTAAGGAAAAAAAGTGGAGCTAGAGGAATCAGACTCCCTGACTTCAGACTATACTATGAAGCTACAGTAATCAAGACACTATGGTACTGGCACAAAAACAGAAATATAGATCAATGGAATAGGATAGAAAGCCCAGAGATAAACCCATGCACCTGTGGTCACCTAATCTATGAGAAAGGAGGCAAGAATATACAATGGAGAAAAGACAGCCTATTCAATAAGTGGTGCTGGAAAAACTGGAGAGCTACATGTAGAAGAATGAAATTAGAACATTCCCTAACACCATACACAAAAATAAACTCAAAATGGGTTAAGGACCTAAATGTAAGACCAGACACTATAAAACTCTCAGAGGAAAACATAGGAAGAACACTCTTTGACATAAATCACAGCAAGATCTTTTCTGACCCATCTCCTACGGTAATAAAAAAAAAACAAAAATAAAGAAATGGAATCTAACTTAAAAGCTTCTGCACAGCAAAGGAAACCATAAACAAGACAAAAAGACAACCCTCAGAATGGGATAAAATATTTGCAAACGAAGCAACTGACAAAGGATTAATCTCCAAAACATACAAACAGCTCATGGAGCTCAATATCAAAAAAAAAAAAACCCAATCCAAAAATGGGAGGAAGACCTAAATAGGCATTTCTCCAAAGAAAACATACAGATGGCCAAGAGGCACATGAAAAGATGCTCAACATCACTAATTATCAGAGAAATGCAAATCAAAAGTACAATGAGGTATCACCTCACACAGGTCAGAACTGCTATCAAAAAATCTACGAACAATAAATGCTGGAGAGGGTGTGGAGAAAAGGGAACTCTCTTGCACTACTGGTGGGAATGTAAATTTATACAGCTACTATGGAGATCAGTATGAAGGTTTTTTAAAGAAACTAAAAATAGAACTACCATATGACCCAGAAATCCCACTACTGGACACATACCCTGAGAAAGCCATAATTCAAAAGGACACACGTTCCCCAGTGTTCACTGAAGCACTATTTACAATAGCCAGGACATGAGAGCACCCTAAATGTCCATCAACAGATGAATGGATAAAGAAGATGTGGCACATATATACAATTGAATATTACTCAGCCATAAACAGGAACGAAACTGAGTAATTTGTAGAGACGTGGATGGACCTACAGAGTGTCATACAGAGTGAAGTAAGTCAGAAAGAGAAAAGCAAATATCGTATAATAATGCATATAAGTGGAATCTAGAAAAATGGTACAGATGAACCTATCTGCAGGGCAAGAATAGAGATGCAGACGTAGAGAATGGACATGTGGACACAGCAGGGGAAAGGAGCGTGGGATGAACTGGGAGATTAGGATTCACACATATACACTACCATGTGTAAAACAGATAGCTAGTGGGAACCTGCTGTGTAGCCCAGGGAGCTCAGCTCAGTGCTCTGTGATGACCTAGATGGGCAGGATCAGGAGTAGGGGGGGAAGGAGGTCTAGGAGGGAGGGGATATATATATATATACATATAGCTGATTCACTTCATTGTACAGCAGAAACTAACACAACATTGAAAAGCAATACTCCAACATGAAAAAAAAGAAAATTCAGAAACAGACCCATACATACATATATGGCCAGTAGATTTGTGTTAAAGATACCACTGCAATGCAGTGGGAGAAAAGATAAATATTTCAACAAATGAAGGTAGGTTTTTTCTTTTTAATTAAACAACCAGGATAGCAGAAGGTAAGGCAGGTCCTCTGGACTTCGAACTTTAACTGCTGTCCTTAGCCAGTAGCATTGTAACAAGGGTCTCTGAGATTCTCTCCTGAAGTTGGGCCCAGCCTAGGTCTCACTTGGATTAACTTGGCCTTGTTTCCAAAGCCACACACTTTGGGAAGGGAGCTAGAGTACAGTCTGTTGTTCTAAGGAAGCCAGGCCACGTTGCTAGTGTGTGTATCCCCCAGCAACAGTCTCCGGAGGCTCTAAACCCTGGGATGGGGATTCGGCTTCACCAAGATTGTTGCCAGAACACAGATCCTGTAGTAACCAGGGTTCTGCAGCCTTAGGATTACCAAGAACACCAACTGGCTATTCACAGGGAAAAAATAAACCTTTAGCTCTATCTCACACCAAACATAAAAATAATTTTCAGATGGATTGTAAACTAAGTGCAAAACATTAAACAATAGGGACTGTGGGAAGATAACACAGAAGAACACTTTAATGTTTTGTAGGGTAGGCAAGGATGTTTCTAAACAGTAAACAATAAGCATTAACTATAAAGTAGATTTGAAAAATTGGACTTCATTAAAATTAAGAACTTCTATCCATCATAAGACACCATAAATAAGTAAAAATGCAAACCAAAGAGCCTAGAAGGTATCTACAATATATACATCTGACAGAGGATTTGTATGCAGAATATATAAGAAGTTATATAAATCAATAAAAGAAAAAAACAATTTTTATTTTTAAAAAATAAGCAAAGCAATAGGATTCTTCACAAAAAGGCTATCCAACTGTTCAATGAGCACATGAAAGTTGTTATACCTCATCAGGGAAGAGCAAATTAAACTCATGAGACACCACTACACATACAGTAAAAGAACTAAAATTTTAAAAATCTATCAATATCAAATGTTGAGACTGTGAGGCAACTGGAATTCTCAAACACCGATGAGGAAATTTTAATTGGTATGATCACTGTGAAAAACTTTTTAGCAGTTATCTCAATAAAACAAAAACAAAAACCCCACACACTTTGCGTTCCACCAGTTCCACACCTAACCAAAATACGGACACGTGTTCACCAAAAGACGTGTACAAGAATGTTCATAGCCACACTATTTGTCATGTCCAAAACTAGGAAATAATTCAAATGCCCGTAAATGGTAGAACAGATAAGTAAATTATATTTTCGTACAGTGGAATACCACAGAGCAGGAATTGGCAAAGTGTTTTCTGTAAAGGGCCAGAAAATAAGTGTTTTTGTCTCTGCAGGCCATATATGTTTTCCATTGCATATTCACATATATATACACACACACAAACACACACACACCCCTTAAAAAACATCAAAATCATTCTTAGTTCACAGGCTGTACAAAACAGATGGTGGGCATGATTAGGCCTGCAGGCAGCACTTTGCCAGCCCCTGGCCTAGAGCAATACAACAAATTATGTGAGAACATGAATGAAGGTCATAACTATAACCTTGAGCAAAAGACAACAGACACAGAAGAAAACATACTCTACGATACCAGTTATAAAAAGTTTGAAAACAAGCAGAACTCATCTATGGTGACAGAAGCCTGAATATTGTGATGGGCATGAAAAGGACTCTGGAGTTCAGGAAATCATCTCTATTTTTATTTGGATAGAGTCCATACTACTCAAATTGTGATCGCTTTGCAAAAATTCACAGACCTGTACACTTAAGGTCTATGCACTTTAGAATATCTATGCTTACTTCAATAAAAATTTACAAAAAACATAACAATTGTCTTTACTATGGGACTTCTAAGACCACTTAATACACTAATGTGCATTTTGAAGTTCCCAGTAAAATGTGAAAAATACAGTATTTTTCCAAATTTATTTCATCACAGAACACTTTCTCCCAGAACACTTCTCAAAACTAATGTAACTCCTTAAGAAAAAAATTGGACCAGAACACAAGGTGTATGAAAGTGTATAGGAGAGAATAAAAATGAAATAATAGGCTAAGGTCATTGAATGCTTCAATGCCATATCCTCAAATAGTGTATCTAGTTTTAACTTTTATCTTGTAGACAACTCTTAAAGGATTTTAAGTAGGAGAGGGACAAGATCAGATCTTTGGGCTTACAAGACAGTACTGGCGGGCTTCCCTGGTGGCACAGTGGTTAAGAATCTGCCTGACAATGCAGGGGACACGGGTTCGAGCCCTGGTCTGGGAAGATCCCACATGCCGCGGAGCAACTAAGCCCATGCACAACTACCGAGCCTGCGCTCTAGAGCCACGAGCCACAGCTACCGAGCCTGTGTGCCACAGCTACTGAAACCTGCGCATCTAGAGCCCGTGCTCCGCAGCAAGAGAGGCCACTGCAATGCGAAGCCCACGCACCGCGATGAAGAGTAGCCCCCACTCGCCACAGCTAGAGAAAGCCCACGCACAGCAACGAAGACCCAATGCAACCAAAACTAAATAAATAAAATAAATTTATTTTAAAAAACAGTACTGGCAGTAGAAGCGGGGAGTAACTGGATGGAGGAAGAGAGGCGCAAAGGAAAAGAACAGAGAAAAATGTGTGTTGGGGATCAGTTAGTGATGCAGTCATCCTGAAATGCAGTGGGAAGGGCTTAAGCAAAGCAGCAACAATAAGAATGAGACAATTATGGCATATATCCAAACAATACTCTAATTCAAAAAGATACATGCACACCAGTGTTCATAGCAGAACTATTTACAACAGCCAAGACATGGAAACAACCTAATTATCCATCGACAGATGAATGGATAAAGAAGATGTGTTATACATACACACACACACACACACACACACACACACACGGAATATTACTCAGCTATAAAAAAGAATGAAATAATGCATTTGCAACAACATGGATGGACCTAGAGATTATCAAACAAGTGGAATAAGTCAGAGAAAGACAAATATCTTATGATATCACATATGTGGAATCTAAAACAATGATACAAATGAACTTATTTACAAAACAGAAACAGACTCACAGACATAGAAAACAAATTTATGGTTACCAAAGGAGAAAGCAGAGGGGGAGGGATAAATTAGGAGTTTTGGATTAGCATATACACATGACTATGTATAAAACAAATTAACAACAAGGACCTACTGTATAGCACAGAGAACTATATTTGATATTTTGTAATAAACTATAATGGAAAAGAATCTGAAAAATAATATATATAAAAGTATATATATACATAACTGAATCACTCTGCTGTACACTAACACAACATTGTAAATCAACTATACTCCAATCGAATTTAAAAAAGAATAATTAAACAGGTTTAAAAAATGTGTGGATTTGTCAATAAATCACTCATCTTAGATAAATATACTTGTCATATTTTTTAATTTATTTATTTTTATTTATTTATCTTTATTTATTTATTTTTGGCTGCGTTGGGTCTTCGTTGCTGTGCACAGGCTTTCTCTAGTTGCAGCGAGCGGGGGCTACTCTTCATTGTGGTGCAGGGGCTTCTAATTGCGGTGACTTCTCTCGTTGCGGAGCACAGGATCTAGGTGCGTGGGCTTCGGTAGTTGTGGCTCGCAGGCTCTAGAGCACAGGCTCAGTAGTTGTGGCGCACGGGCTTAGTTGCTCTGCGGCATGTGGGATCTTCCAGGACCAGGGCTCGAACCCCTGTCCCCTGCATTGGCAGGCGGATTCTTAACCACTGTGCCACCCAGGGAAGTCCCTCCTTGTCATATTTTTAAGAATATACTCTTATTCTTTAGCTTTTATTACCACTCACTTCGAATCTGGAATTCTATATTATCACTATATACAAGGTACAAAAGATGCAGCTCTGAGTTCTACAAAGGAGGGCTTAGAGAATGCACTGTCAATACACTGATTGGAAAGGGCCCAGGAGAGCTTGTCTTACAATCACACCTGCAGAGCAATGCAGGTTTGCATAGGGATTTTATTTATGTGATTTTTATTGAGGATGGCTCAAACCTGCATTTGCAGAGCAAAAATCATGGTTTTACTTAGAAGGTATGTTTATTTGGGAGTGGTTGGGGAAGGGGATGATGAAAATTTGACAGAAATCAAAATCTCCCCATCTGACTACCCCCTTGCCTGGGCATTTAAACTAATTTGTAACATTTTAATGATATGATTCTCTTGTGAAATCAGCAGCTTTGAATGCTTTGTCATCTGCCACCCAAGTGTCAAAGAATTTAACAGTGGCCATATTTAAATGTTTTGACTCCAAATGGCTTTATTTGAAAAAATAAGCACAAAAGAGGGAAGTGTAATACATAATGCATTAAGTATGACAATCTGTTGTTCAACCTCATTTACATCCATGGTTTCTACATGAGATGTTATCATGGGGTCTGCGTTAAACCCATGATGGCCCCCCAAATATATCTACATCCTAATCCCAGGCACCCATGAATGTTATTTTATGTGGCAAAAGGGACTTTGTAGATGCAATCAATATAAGGATCTTAAAATGAAGGTTATCCAGGATTATCTGGGCGGGACCAATGCAATCGAAGTGGTCCTTATAGGAGAGACACAAAAGTGAGAGTCGGAGAAGCTATTGTTGACACAAGCAGAGACTGGAGTGATGCACTTTGAGTATGCAGAATACAGATGCCATTAGAAGCTGAAATAAGCAAGGCAATGCTTTCCTTCCCTAGAACATCCAGAAGGAACCAGCCCTGCTGAAACCTTGCCCTTAGCACAGTGAAGATGACCTCCAGAATCACAAGAGAATAAATTTGTGTTGCTTTAGGCAATAAAACCTGTGGTAAGTTTTTACAGCCCCAAAAGGAAACTAATACAACATCCTAGTGAAATGTTTATCAAACAGTCAGAATCACACCAGAATCACCTAGGCAGTTTGTTAAAGACACAGATCCTTGGATCCCATGCCTAGAAGTTCTGTGTCCCTGGATCGTTGTTAAGGCGCAGACATCTAAACTGCTTAAGAAGCTTCTTGTATGACTGTTGTGCTACAAACCGGAGTGTAAGTCAGAAGAAGAAAATTCACTGCCCAAATCAGATTCCTAGGGCTGCCGTACCTAATTCCCACAAACTCGAAATTCTAAAATGACAGAGAACTGTCCACAGGGCTGCACTCCCACAGGAAGCCCTAAGAGACAATCTGTTCCTTGCCTCTTTGCTTCTGGTGGCTGCTAGCATTCCTTGACTTGTGGTCATATCACTCCAATCTCTGCCTCAGTGGTCACATTGCCTCCTCTTCTGCGTGGATCAAATCTCCCTCTGCCTCTCTTATAAAGTCACTGGTGATTGGAATTAGGACCCACCTGGATAATCCAGAACAATCATTCCATCTCAAGATCTGTAATCACCTCTGCCAAAATCTCTTTTTCTTATAAAGTAACACTCACAGGGTCTGGGAATTGGGACCTGATATCTCTGGGTGGCCATTACTCAGCCTGCAATAGTGCCTTAGTGCCCTTGGTGGTAATTTAGGGATGAAGACAGTAGAGCTGAAGCAGATTTTCCAAAAATACAAGACTGAAATATTTTTAGATTCAAATATTCTTTTGACCCTTTACAAAATACAATTATGCTAGTTAAAAAAAAAAAAACACCAGCCTCACTGGAGTATTCTGATGATTAATGAGGCTTTGATAAGCAGGGAATTGGGAGACTACTGGAAGAAGTAGGTCCCCAGGATTCAGTAGTATTTTTCTTATGAGGTTATATGCCCCTTTTAAAAATTGGTTTCACACACGGGTGTTTCTGAATATAAAAGTACTGCCAATGAAAGAATCTTCATGAAAAGTTTCTATCACAGAGGAACTTACTACATCTCACTGCACAAACAGATTACAAGAAACGTTGGTTAGGGAGTTCTTTTTATGCAAAAGCTCTTTCAAATATAAATAAATCCAAGATTTCCTTTGCAAGCATTTTTTCTCTACACAAGCAAGAAATTTAGACTCCATGGTTCACTAACAAGAGCATTCTTATCCTGTTTGGCTTTTTAAGGTACTTCAGGTAAATAATCCAGAAGAGAAATTACCCTGAAGTCAAAAGGAACACACACCAGAATTCAAACAATGGCCTAAGAAATGTGTAGAGTGTGGTGATGCGCCACAGAATTAATAAGTAATAGAGATTCTGTGTTCAAAACATGTCCTCTTCCTTTCAGAAATAGCAAGCACTCATTCTAATATTTTCCTAACATCCCTGCACAACGAGGCTTAAGGCCTTCCCTAACTGAAACGGTATCCTTTTCTCGAATGTACATTTTTATATCCACCCCCTAAAAAACATTTATAGCTCCACTTCCCTTTACTATTACCTACTCAAAATCTAAATAACCACCCCCTTTAAAATAATCCGTGGCTTGGCTTTCAACAACCTAATTTTCACTTTAGCAGGTCATCACTCCACCCTGAATAGCTTTTAGGGAAAAAAATTTTTTTTCTCATTCATCCCCCTGGAGTATGACCACACTTCTTGCCTACAAGGTATTATTCACTTGCTTGAATCCCCTCAGTTGTACTGGCTCCAAATTGTGCTGTCAGTGCTCTGAGCTAATCTGCCAGCCTAGGTCCCGTAAAATTCCCAGAGCAACAGTGTTGGCTAATAACCAACTAAAAATATGCAACAACTAGTAGTGTTAGGTAATAACTAACAATAGCACCGTTCAAGAACCACCTCAGAAGCTTGCAAAAATGCAGACTCCAGGGCCCCACCTCAGACCAACTAAATTTCCAGAAAAATAACTCAGAATTTGCATTTTTTTGCAAACGAAATGTGGCCACTAGGAAATTGGAATCCAATGATTCGAAAGGCCTGAGCCTTGGAAATTCCCACTTCACGCATTTTCTCCTCCCCACAAACACCCGGGACTGTTTTACAGAAATAAAGTGGTCTTGGTTTGCACCCCGAAGTTAAGCATCATCCACACACCATTCAGTAACTATGACACACCCTTACTGCACTCTTAAATGCTGACCCCGTTTTTGGTTTTAAATCCCTATGCAATTTTATCTTTCCATTTTCAATCACTGTAACTCCATCATTTCCTGGAGGAATCCACCCTCAGTTACTCTTCTTTATTTCAATGCTCAGTTCCATTTTTTAGAGACTTTTCCCTAGGGCCCTTATCCCAATCCAGAAACCCCTTCCATTAAGGCCAGAGAGTGGGTAAGCAGCGAGACCAAATATCTATGTGGAATCTAGAAAAATGGTGCAGATGAACCTATTTGCAGGACAGGAATAGAAACGCAGATGTAGAGAATGGACGTGTGGACACAGGTGGGGAAGGGGAGGGTGAGGTGAATTGGGAGATTAGGTTTGACATAAATACACTACCATGTGTAAAACAGATAGCTAGTGGGAACCTGCTGTATAGCACAGGGAGCTCAGCTCGGTGCTCTGTGATGACCTGGAGGGGTGGGATGTGGGGAGGGGAGGGAGGTCCAAGAGGGAGGGGATATAGGTGTACCTATAGCTGATTCACTTCATTGTACAGCAGAAACTAACAAACATTGCAAAGCAATATACTCCAATAAATTAATTAATTAATTAAAGTCTATATCACTTGAAAAAGTTTTTTGTTTTGTTTGTTTGGACAAATGGAACAAGAGAAGGTAGCTGTGAGCATATTTTGGACCACAAAATTTACCAGCAGGACCTAACGTCCCCTTGGTTAGCATCACAGAAAAGAGGATTCTTCTTAGGGGAAGAAAAATCTAGTTCTGCATCATGTGACACAGGGAACCTCACTCTTCCTATCTGTAGAGATCTTTCATCAACATAACAGCATAAGGACAATTAAATCTTGTTCAGTTTTTACCGCAAATAAACATTTTTTCCAAAAGGAGGTTAATTTACCTGCCACAGACACAACTCTTCACCAAATGCCATTGACAGGAGCAATTGCCATCCGTGTTCTTTACTCTAATGTAGTGGAACCTCTTGGGCGAGACACTGAGAAAGAAAACCCAGCTGTAACTGGGACAAAGTACACATTCTGCCTCACCACAAAGTGCAGCTTCTACGTTCCAACTGTCTTGGTGAAGTGCTTCATGGCCGAATGTTGTTGGCCAACTTACATGGTATTTGGATTTGAAGTTATATGCCATTTGGGGAAGATTACTATAATTAGAAAAATGGCCTAATTACTTTTCTGGCAACAGGGAAGAAAGAGAACAGACTTTTCAGCTTAGAGAGACAAGTCCCTGAGAAACCTCAAAAGGTTTCAGGATCCTGTTTGACAGGAAAGAACATCTCATCTGAACCTCTTGGAGCTGTTGAAAACTGAGTTTTGTTTTGTTTTTTGAAAAGCCAAAACCACAAGAGAGGGGAAAAAGAAAAAAAAAGAATGGAAAGCAAGAAAAGCACTCTTTCCTATTGGATTCTGAAACGGATGACAAGAATGGTCCTTTCTGTTCCATGGCGAGTTTCATCTGCTGGTCCTTAGAAGCGCAAACAGGAAACAAGAGGGTCAGGAGGGAAGAGTGTGGATTTTCCGTGACAGGACTCGGAAGATGGTTTCACACAAATGTTACTTAATGGCCTTGTCTGTTCTAGCTGCAAATAATATAACAATATAACCTCAGCAGCTTCTGTTATTTTAGGTCTCCAGTTAACATTTGTGATATAAAAGGCAAAATCATACTAAGTTCCTCTTTTTTCTGCATCGAGGGAGGGAGACGTGGCTGCACTGAATCGAACACCCATTCCCCAGGCCTCGGTCCTACAGGATGTTGCCTTTCGCCCAGAAGGCAGGTGGGAACAGTGAGAGCTCTGTTGGAGAAAAATGACCCACGGCTTGCGCTACTTAGGTTCTATTTCCTGAACTCGGCAATGGGAAAACCTGTACTACATCAAATACATCTTCGCAAAAATACAATTTAAAACAGTCGTGATTTTTTTTTAATATAAAGGTAAAATCGGGACAGTGAATAAACTTCAAAATGTGCATTTTGTGGGGAGAGAGGGGAGGATGGTAGCTGGGGAGAAAGAAAAAGAGTTATGAAATAGTTGTTGCTTTCAAGTCATGCGCTGTCTAATGAAAATGTTCCTTGGTCCGTGTGGCTCTCGTTAGAATGTTTCCTACCATTAGTGACTTCTGGTGGGTCCCCTCCCCTTCTGAGGCCCTTTATCGAACCCAGAAAGGAAAAGTTGGATTTCAGGCTGTGCTCAAAGTCAAACGGCAGCTCTGTCTTTCACCGGCCTAAGTAAGAGTCATCATATAAAGGCCCCTTTGATCCAGAATCTCAGGGTTTGTTTTATGGAAAATGTAAACACATATAAAAATACTGCCCCCTCCCACAGTGATTTCTGGATCTTTTCCAATTTCAACCTAACTTTTAAAAATCATCTATAAAATTATTTCTTACTTTATATCAGGTGACTCATGTGAACATTTTAAAGCATAAATATTGTTCCAACTGGATTCTCATTAATTTTATTTGTTTTCTGGAAAACAAATACTGTACTATATCACAGTTGTACTATAGTACTATTGCTGTACTACATCACAGAATTAAGTAAATCTGCTGATGGTTTTTTTTTTGACAATAATCAGTTTCTTTGGAAGAAAGGGATAATTTTCTATAATCATACATCCTAGGTTAATCTTTGGTGTGTGATAACAGCATCAACTAATTGAAATATAATCTTTTAATGCAACTGCAAGTTATCTAACTTAGTGCGTGGACCCTTTATAAAGATACCCATTGAAAATTATTTTCAATGGAAGGAATATAGCCTTTTTTACTAAGCTGCTAAGAACACGTTAATTAAAGATAGGTTACCATCTTGGGTCAAGCAGTCTGAAAACAAACTTATGGACTGAAATTACATTCCCTCAAAATTCACATGTTGAAGACCTAACCCCAATACCTTAGAATGTGACTGTATGTGTATTTGATAGACCTTTAAACAGGTGA